CCATGACCCTGCTTACATAGTAATTAATACCATGAGTAAAGGGGTGGGCTGGTCAATGCAACAACTAATGACAGATTAGGGTGAAAATTAGGGATTATTCATTGTTTATAGTTTGGGCAGGGTTCTCACCTGCAACATACAAATTTGTTGAATTGCTATAATCAAGCTATAATACTGCAAATGTGAAACAGTATGTCATGGAGATTAAAGTGCATGATGACACCAAAATACAACATTTTCTGATTGTATTAAAAAAGGATTGTATAATTCAATTGACGTACATATGTCTGCGCTATTACATGCCCCTTAGATGCAGCTCAGAATTCATAGTCTGGACTCCAGACATGATTTCACAGTTTGTAAGTTCTAGTTTCAGAACTGACCAGTGAGACTGAGAATGTTCACTGTGACGTCATGTCCAGACAATACAAAAAACACCTACACCTGCATGTATTTCTTTGTTACCAACTCCTGTAACAACAAAACACAATTAGGAAGACACCCTTCCTTTGTGCTTGTTTCTTAATCATCTTGACCTATGTTTCTTTTCTCAGGAACGGTCCTAAGGAGTTATTTCTGTCTCAGGCAATTGTTTGTGTGTAGTAGAATAGTATAGGACACAGGATTTACAATTACTGTACCCCTACAGTACAAAACCAGGAAAGGTGATAGTTTAGGGTGTCTCACACAAGTGGCTGTGTGTGTGTAAAGGAAATCTGGTTCCAGCCCACTGATTAGCACGGCCTGATGACATGGGGAAAAGGACAGCGTGCGTAAATGTCATATGTTCCTCAAACAAAATCTATTTGTTTATGAGATGGTGAATCAAGCCATTTTCACTAAACATTTTTGCACATTTTCTTGTTAGACAGTGATATGCTCATAATGTATCCTCCCAAAGATTGTTTTGACTTTTGTCTGCTTATGCATTTTGTATGATATTTTGAACACATCACAAAACAGGATACAATTAAACTAGGAAAGTTATAGACTGGAAAAATATAGCCAAGAAATTTTTCGTCTTGTGCTTTGATACATTGGTGATAGGATAGATTTAATAGTTGTGGTAGCTATGTAATTGATTTTCTAAGGCCCATTGGGACCAGCATGAGAAATTTTCGGTTATAACTGGTTTATGAAAGCATAATTGTGTGAAATTGACAGCTCACCACCAAGGTTGACTGGCACATTACATCACCGAGAATCCCACAAAAACCATTTAACATCCCAGGCTGCAGATTAATTTCAGACATACTGTGCAGAATGCTGCAGACCTTGTAAAGCTAGAGACGTGCCATTACTGGCAGTTGATCGCTATAAAAATTCGAACACTTCAGGTGTTGCTCAGAATGCCAACATCACAATAAAGCTTCGCCCTTTGGCGGCGTCCTCCCTACAAGTCAATTAACCCGACACGTCTTCCTCATTGCACCGTAAAATAGGTAAATGCGATAAAGTTGAATCGGAATATTTCATTCCCCCATAGCAGAAGTTCAGGCAACCCATTTGGCCAATTTGCTGCGTCAATTGGTATCATTTGTAATGGCTGCCCAGCCTTCTGTTCATTCACTCAATCAAATTTTCATGAACTCTCCCCCACCGATCACAGTGATCTGTGTGAAAGCTTGGCCAGGAATCGCGGGAGATGCGGGTTAGCCGTATTTCACTTCCCTAACTCATCACAGTTTGTTATGTTCCCAGTAAAAATCCACGTTTCATCAGTAGGAGCAGTGGTTATCAATGTTAGGTTTTGAAAAATCCCTTTCAGTCTTATCTAACATTCAGAATGAAGATGTCATTTGGTTCCCTGTTTACATGATAACTTTGTAACTTGACCTCTTGTTTTGTTCGTTTGTTTGAGCCTTTATTTCAACTTGATCTGTAACTGTGTTACATGCTCTAATCGGCCGCTATTTCGGCCGCTTTTCATAGAGGTCGAGCTTGGAGGAGTGTCAGGAGGTCATAACATAAATACTACTTGCTACAAACCTTGTGCTTAACATTTCTTTTAAATGTCTTCTCTGTTCTGATTTTTGATGCTGCACAGCTCTTCCTCTGGTTGGCACTTGCAGGTTTTTGTACACAAGACATCAAAATTGGGAATAGAGACATCTATTTCTTGTTCATGTGAAATTTATACGACTGTCAGGTGGAGGGTATTGATGGGATAAAGAGCAGTCATGCACGGTATTGAATTTATCACCAGCTTTTTCAATCTTTCGGAATGTCATACCATATTTGTGTCTCTATTGTGGTGAAGGAAAATCCGTTCACATCCTTACCAGTAGGGAGGGTAATCTGTTCATCTTCTCTTGAGATGGGAATGTCTTTCGACAAGGTGGTTGGTCTTGCTGCAATGTCGGATATTTTAAGTTGTCTGTATGTAGGACATGTTATCATCCTTGTATCATGAAACATGAAATGGGAAGTAAACCTTTATGGGTTCTGAGAGCAATGGTTTCCCTTCAAGCACAGTAAAATTATATCTGCATACTACGTATAAGTGTGAATTATATTGTATAAGATGTGTAATTATGGTAATGGATCCTTGTGAAATTTTCCAGGCTGGTAAATAGAGCGGCAAGGGAACACCTGTCATATGTAATTACATTATTCCAAATTAAATTGGCATGAAGTGCATCATCTGTCACATGATTAGGTGGCATGTCTGTAGGAAAAATGCACCTCTTGGGGCACAGGTTGAAAATGATCGTAAATAGTGCAGATATTATTAGAATTTTTGGCACTTGAAATGTTAGGATAAATCTTTGTATCTTTTATTTAAATGGGTGCTCTACATAACTGCATACTTCTTTATGGCCTCACATATTCAAGATTGGAAGTGTGAAAAGAATTGCACCCCGTAAAATACTTCAGTGCCAATGGAGACAGGCATATTAGAAATCCTTCGTGGAAGGAGCGGAAGTCTGAGTTTTATCTTGCAATTTTTTCACCCTACCTGTAATGCTTCAACTTCAAGTATGAAACTTAAAAGGTATTATTTTTTCATCCCCCTGCTTCAACTATGTACATGTATGATGTTATGTTGATATTGATCAGTAAAGGCCATCATTTTCATAGAAGCAATGGAAAAGTTTTGTTAACCATATCATAGTAACAGGTCATGAATAATCAACTTTGGTAACACTTAAACAGCAAGGCAGAATAGCATACACCATCAACTGCGACAGACGTTTTGTTGATAGACTGAAATTGCCATTTCGACACATTTCTCAGCAGATCAGTTATACTTCAATCAAAAGTCTTACTTAATAGTTTATTTGGAAAATTTGCCATTCCTTCATTCCACTCATTTTCTCTAGTTCATGGTCAACCCCAATGTAGCTGTTTTTGGTCTCCCCCTTGTGTCATACGTAGGCAGGCCCTCATCTTACACATTTTGCATGGCACAATCAATGGCTGCAGTGTTGTATGTCAAAGGTCAGTCATGGGTGGCTGAAAGGAGCCCCACAATGTCACAACCCCAATGTTTAGATTCCTGAACAGCTGCAAAAATACCATTAGGAAAAGGGTTGGGAAGTGAAGACAGCTTGTTGTTTGGTTGGTGACAAATTTTGCATTGTTCTGTAATGGTATGAAGGACTGTTGTTGGATGATATGCCTGGGAGAAACAGTTGAAATGTGAGGTGATTACATGCTCTAATGTAACACACAGGGTGTTATTTTTGCAGAGCCTCTTCCAACCCATTTGGTTCAGATAAAAAGAAGGAATAGAGGAAAGTAAACAAGTCATTAGACTATTGACCCATTACAGATGTTCTGTTTGTGTATACATGTTAAGAAAGCTTATCAGTGTGTTTTTGGTTTGATGATTGAGAATGATAAGAATCAGCAAAACTTTTATTTCATTTCAAATACCCTTTTTTAATTCCAAGCGAGAAACTCGCATACAACAATATTTTACTGAAATATGAAGACATGAAGTTGGTACAATAAAATCTTCATGAAATTTGGATCTATCTATCTGGCTGGACACAGGGGCAAGGGGAGGAGACCATGAAGTCATGTTGACTTTGATGATAGATTAGAGGTCAATAAGTAATGTAATATGAACAATTATTGGTTTTTAATCATAACAGGTTTCCATAATGCCCATCTAATATGAAGATAATATTATATACATTATTTGATATAAACTTGATAAGAACAACAGCATATGTTTCATAATTTTCATCTGACCTCTTTGTCCCCCTCCATATTATTGATGGCTGGTCCCTTAATGCACCTCAGAAAAGCACTGAGAAGATATACAAGTGTAGCTGGTGACAACAGTACCCTTCCATCCATATCAACTTTTATAATGGCTTTATTGATTTCCAGTAGCGCAGCATTATGATATCTATGTGCTGTCGCAATATCGGTGCTGATAGTGTTGCTATTGCCAGCAGTCAACTGAGCACTGTAATCGGCATTCATGTAGTGATAGGTAGATTTAGTGCAGGGAAGCCATTAGTCGCTGTTATAGGTAAAAGCGCAAGATTTAAAAGGATGGTACAGATGGATCGTAAGGATGCCAGTAGCTCACACTAAAAGTGCAAGATTTAAAGGAAATATAAATACGGGGATGTGTCGTAAAGGTGGCAATGGCTTATACTTTATGTATGCCCTGGGGCCCAACATGCCCAGATTGTGGAGTAAAGTGTTTTTGGTCCCCACAATAACTTTCTTGTATATTGTTGATATACATATATGTGCTTCAAAACTTAATTCAGGTATTCCTGCGCTCAAATGTATGATAGAGCCAAGTCATGGAGCAGAGAAAACTATGTATTGAGTCACTACCGGTAATTGTCACCCTTACTACATTGTTTGCAATGTTTAACAGTAGTTTCAAACTTTGAAACTCAGGTCAATGCTGTTGATAACAGGCTTGTTTCACAAAGCTGTTGATCTATCAAATGTTTACAGCAAAATATGACAAGACCTTAACGTTAAGACTTTCGTCAGTTCTTATAAAAGTTTTTTTATTTATTTTCCAGATTGTGTGTACATCGACAGCCAGCGTGCAGACAACCCTTACTACATCTGCTCCATCCAGGAGTTCCGCATGGTGAGTCCAGCTGGTTCTTCTCTTGTACCTGGCACTCTGTAAAGGTGGCACCTCTGGAATTAAATAACATCCTTGATAAAAGTAGGGTGTAACAAAATGCCTTGATTAACCTCCTCATACATTATCAAAAACTATGGGGACCTCTTACTTAGATACTGTTAACAACACTTGCAGAGAGATATGTGGGGCCTATAGGTTTCACAAGTTGTTGAGGGTAATCTATATCAAGCCACCGCAAGCCAACAAAGGTGGTGTGTGTTGCTAAAATGTGGTAATTGCAGTTAACAGGTGCAGATACTGCACATGGGCTTGTCCATGTACAATGTATGTCAGTAGTGAGGGGGTTCTATGTCTGTTATTAGTTGTTTCAGCCACTTACACATTAATGTGATTTATACAGATACACTTCTATGATAAAGAATGCTGCCTTGTAATCTTTTGAGTTATAAGATGGAGACAACAGTATAACTATAAGAACTACACTAAACCAAAACATGAGTGCAAGGCACAATGATTCACTTGCTTTTGTATCTATGTTTGAGTGCACAGATAATAAACACTATTAAATGATAGAAAGATTCATAAAATGTCATGGAATAAGGACTTAAAATCTGATTTTATATACCTAGAGTAGAATATTAGTAGAGGAGTTGATGTTATTGGTTGGTGATATTGCAGTCAAATGCCCTTCCAAAGTTCCAAGGTCATACCTCATGGCTAGGATAAGGATGCTTTCATCTGCCTGTCAACAGATTTCAGTGACCTGAACCATAAGAAGCTTTGCTTTGACACCCTTGTGTAGTTTCTGTCAGGTGTGAAATACAGGTGTCAACATGTCACCTAAACACCTGTTAATCAGCATGTGCAGGTACGTTGTGTCCCCACATGAACTCACTGCTATTTATGTTTGAGTTTGTTGCTGTAGATTTCTGTACAGCAGACAACATTGTCAAGTGGTTCATGGCATTCTTTCCTGCAAGTATGGAAGTTTACACCTGTACTAAAAGTTGACTCAAATTACCTTCTCTGTAACTATTCCTTTACAGCAGTGCTGATAACTTCCCCATAAATCAAGCCTTATCGCCATAGTTACTGAAGAAGAAAGAGTAACCCTTAGGCCAAGAATAGCTATGTGCAATCCTTGAATGTTAACATCTGAGCATCCTTTTTTCTCACAAATGAGAAATGGTTAGAATAGATTTTCTGATAGTAGGGTAGCTAAGGTACATCTTTCAGTGTGACTGCTTTTTGATGGGCTCTGAAAGACACATTTGCCTCCGTGAAAATAGAGGTATTATTTTGTGTGTGTGTGTTTGTGTGTGTGGTATACCCTGCCCTGGAGTGAAAGCATCTAACTACAGACCACAAAAGATCAGACACAGGAAGTTAGGTCCCAGCAGGAAGTTGACCTGGAGTCTGTCAGCAAAGATAATGCATAGAAAGGTAGACAGAGAAAATCACAATAATGAGTAAAACCAGATATTCACAAAAACTCCACAAAAATATTTCGTGGAGGTATAAAATCTCTGACTTCTTGTTCTGCATGTCAAATTCAGATTCCCAGCTCTTTATAGATCTTTCACCGCCAAAGTGTACAGTAGTTCGACACCAGATGGGCTATAGAAGGATACAGTACCACTTTAAACATTAAACATACTGTGAAGGAACATTACTTCTGGTTTTGAGCACTTCCTGGTGGGTTTAGGTCCTGACACACACAGTGACCTGTGACCAGTGGTAATCCTGCCAGGTATTTCACCAGCATGGATGGGTAACGTGACCTTTGGAAAGCCATTTGGTTTTCTGTGAAATGAACGCCCGCTGTAAGTTATGACATTGTATCCTATCATTATAGAACCATATGACCGTTTCAGATATGCATGTTCATTTGTTATTTGGCCAGCTTCTATGATTTTCAAGTCGGTGCCACTCGGTAACAAGTAGGAGATCTTAAAAATGTTACTTTGAGAAATATCCTATTTGCTTCCTTTAAGATTTAAGGTCAGTACATCCAAAGAACTAATGGACTGTCCCTCGTAATATCACTGCTCTATAGGCAGTGGATTCAACAATACTTGAAAGGCACTCTACTGAAATCAACAATTCTTTACATGTTCTTGATATTGGCCGCTCTGTTTGAATAGGTGCATGGTGATGGGAAATACAACCTTTGTGTCCCAAATGTTCATCCAGCTATTTAGTGACAAGGGTGCTTTTGGATTATTCTGGACATTAACCTAGTGGTAACCGCAAGGCTCATTGGCAAAACAGAGAGCAGAGAGAATACGTAATTGATTTTTCACCTGCAAAGGGAAAGGTTGAAGATAATGGAAGTACTTGACGATTATACATGGATCAGAGATCTAATCTATTGATTCTTAAAGATCTACTGCAGGGCAAGGAACTAAGTGTTTTTCTTTATGGCCTATAATGCATCTGTCAGTGTGATACCCAAGGAGGGGTTCACAAAATGTTTAGATAAAAGTTTTCTTATAAATTGTTATGGTAATGATTACATGAATGTGTGTGCAGGAAACTTAATAACGTACATACATATGTACATGTGAGTATGCTTGCATGTATGCAAATGATCCAAGTAGTTTTCCTCAGTTATTTTTGACAGTGAGAAGGAGGAAGAAAAAAAAATTATATTTTTGAATACGAGATATTTTGTTATGAAGTTAAAAATAGTGTCTGCAACTTCATTAACAACTCATTGTAAATCCTGCTACAGGAGCTATTAGCCATACTTGAGGTTTGTAAAAGCCCCAAATTTGTGACATATTTTATCATGGTATGTTACATGCCCATTAAACCCATGCTGGTTGATTGGCTGTCAAGGTACAGGTCACACGGGGTCGCGACCTGGGTCATCCCTCTTGTGCCCTGATTGTCTGGCTCAGATCACTGTGTCACTACCAATTTTCTCCCTCATGTATCAACCCAGTGAGTCATCTGCTCTCACTTCAAGTTTACCAGTAAATCGTCTGTCCATGTCATTGGGGGATTACCAGTGCTTTATTTACAGGGGAAGTTTTGTCCTGCTCTACATGTATTACTCATGCGGCGACAGAGAAAAATACTTTGTGGTAATCTCCAGGAGGCAGATGCAAAGGTGACAACCTATTATCAGTCGGAGAGTAATTACCAATTGTCTCCCAACGCAAGTGGTTTTCTTTTGGCACCATTTGGATTCTACTTGGCATGGCTGCTGCCCACCCTTTCAATAAATGTGCAGGAATATACTTGAAAGGGGTTACAGTGTGCTACAGTGTACTGTAAACGGCAAGAGTGATTTACACAAGCGCAGGACTCGGCTCTGCAATGCATCCGACTGCTCCTAATGGGAGCAATTGCCAGGAGGCAAGAATTAATCAAACAGCAAGGATATGTAATTTGGAGTGAGTGAGCACATAATCAGGTATAGCTTGCGGGCAGGGGGGCAACAAAAGACGCTTTAGTTGACAGCAGGGCTTGCTGATTACTAGAATGCTCTCAGTGGTGCATTTTACCGCTGGTGAGCATCAAAAACATCACCTCTCAGAGGTTAACACTGTAGAAAACAAATTCAAAGGAGATATCTCATTTAGAGAGATCCACAGAAAGTGATATATATGGACTGACAGGTTGTGTTGTGTTTGATTGAGTGGAATGTTTGCAGCAGGATTCTATCACCAGCCGATGCCGCCTTTATAGTGAGAAGCAGTGGAAATTGAGTGCCTGCAATGGAGCCATGAAATCTTGGGGTATATTTTTCAGCGATTTATGCCAGCGATGAAGCTGAAGTAAAGGAGGATGTTATCTTGTTTGGCTGCAGGGGAGGGTAAAGAGCATTAGAGAGATAAACACAAGGGAACAGCAGTGTCTGGGTAATATATTGCAGATTAAGGGGATTTTTACATGATTTGAATAAAGAGAATTGAATGGAATTATGTATGAGGCAGGAGTGTAAAAATCTCTATGGAAATGGAAGCGTTGTAATCAATTTGAACACCATACACACAATATATGTGTACAATCTTTATGTTGGCAAATTCAATAAGGGACTTTTGTGCCATTATTGTGGGGGGTGGAGGTATTGGATTACAATTGTATAAGTCTGGTTAACCATTCTTTTAATGTTCTTGCAGGGGTAGAACTAATGCCTTTATACCAAAATTGAATTAGTTACAGAAAGCAGTTTAACAGTTTTTTTTATCAAGCTCTGTTCATGTAAATTTCATCTAATAAATATGTTTTGAAAAAAAAAAAGCGTCTTGTGTAGTATAGGATTTTATTTTTCAACTTCGCTTGCCAATATGAACAGCTTCTGTGTGTGGAAACTGTAAAAGAATACATGATGCTCAATACCAGTGGCCATAAGTGATGATGATGATGATCTTTATTGCTTCGAAAGTTGTACGGGCTACAATGTATGGCAAGAATGAGTGTGGTCATTACAATAATACTATTATTCCTAGGCACTATACCTACATAAAAATGAATGTAAATGGCGTATTGGCATGATGTACATTAAACATTTGTCTGTCTTTTTCTAAAACACTACATACATATTGGCCTAGGTACATATGGAGTCAGGGCATGACATATTAGTAGTTTGAAGGTATCTATGCTTGTCATTGGCAAAGGTTTATTAGATTTACTTGTGACTATATTCATTAATTTTCATCTATCTACAGTATAAGCTGGACATGTCGTAAGAAAATGATACTCATCTTCATCACTTTCTTCAAATGATGGACACCGTCTCTAAAGTGTGAGACTGAGAGATTCCATCCCATAGTAATCTGGATCTTCTGGAATGTCTGCCTGGACTGCCAGGCATATTCTGGGGATCAGCGGCAAGCATAGGTTTGAAGGTCGACTGTCTTTCCAGCTCTATCTTGAAGGTCTTTTCAAGGTGAAATGTTGCCCTTGGCTGAGTCTTCAGAATCCCATCTGCTATCTTCTGTTGATAAGGTCTTTGGGTACTTCTAAAGTTGATGCATATGTGTATGTTA